ACTTCATTGACCGCAAACTTCACTGAATGACTTCACTTGGCTGAGTTGATTCTCCAACTTCGCCTTGCGTTCAATTGCCTGTTTTTCCCGTAGGAGGTAATGCGCTATCAAATCTTGTCTGGAGCGCTCTTCCTCGACTGTAGTTGTCATTCGTTTCAGTACAATATCCTGAGGCACGCACGAGTCAAGATATATAATGCACATCGTGGAACACTTCGCTTCGCTTTGCTCGAGACGAGACGATTCCAACATGAAATCTATGGATTTGAGACGTGACCTTTCTCACGTGTTGAGCCCTATGCCTACTAACCCTACGGACTGGCATAACATTATGTGACGAAAACTTGGCGGAGCGATTACTTGCATCTCGGCCAGAGTTCGTAGGAGCTGCAGCAGCCCTACAGATCTCTGAGATGAATCTTGGAATCGACGTAGGTGCGTAACGATGTTGGGAATTTTCTTCATACGTCTGAGTCCGAGAATACGCAGAAAGTGACGCCATCAATGCACAGACCGGCACAATTCTGAAGTGCTCTTCTTCAACTTTTCTGTGGTTTCTATCACATCGTCATTATCTTCTTGAACCGCGAAAGTGCCTGCGATATTTTCCATGGCTCATTTACAATAAGTCAGGTATAATTCGAAATTCGAGCTATACTTGACTTATTGTGATCGAGAGAGTTCATACTCGACACTCGAATATATACTCTCTCAAGCCCTACCATCACTGTTGGTGTTGAGCATGACGTACAGGTCCTCCAGCCTCATCTGGATGCATACGCTTTCATATACTCACTAACACGGTGGCCACCACCTGTTCAGCGAACCTCCCAACAAAATCTTGCCCTAGTTGCTCGGCAACCTCAGCTCCTCCTTCTCCCTGTAGACCATCCAATACCTAATAGGCCGTTCGTGTGGGGTTGTGCATTTTGCTTGATCCTACCTGGTGTGTTAACAAAGTCAGGAATGTCGCCTTGGTCTTGAGATCGTCCATGATAGCGAGCACTCTCTGAGTATCGACGTTGATGGGCTTAGCTGAAATCAACGCGGATAGAGGCTCAACAGTAGCGGCTGAACTCGAGACCTGCTGAATCTGTTGACGATGGTCTCGCATTTGCCATAGGAGGAGATAGTTAAATTGGAAGAGAGTCTATACCCTACATGGCAATGAACAGTATTAGATAGAGTTAACCTAGTGTGAGCCACGTAGCCTCCTAATCGTTGGAGGTGAACCATGTCAGGGTAGGAGGAAGAGTCTCATCATCACAATTAGTATCCGAGTACCGCAACGAGGTTAATGAAACTAATGGCTTTATGACGAAAGATTGAATAATTTCTATCCTGACTATCGCTGACACTGGGCTAGGTCTTGCATTACTAACTAGGGTAGACGGTTGGAAAACAAACAAGTGACAGCTCCGTAGTGTTGCATGTCAATTGAGTCGGTATCCAGATGGGAAATATTGCATGGTTGCGAAGCGAGTTCGAGATCGTTGTTATTGTATCAACACCAAGGTTAACATAAGTAGCATGGAAATGTCCGGGGTTGGGTGAACTCTGCGCTACAAAAATTTATCACCAACAAGTTGGAGAGGAGTCCCACTGAAGCGTATCGAACATATTTTGCAGATATCTCTAGAAATTATCAATTCCAGATGGTCCATGAGCATCGGTACTCGATAGAGGGAGTAGGTAGGTTGGTTCCGAAGTCCACTCTGAGCTTGGCTTAGTTCTCCAAAAGGAGATAGACAATACGTTACGCTATACATGCTATGATGTATGTTTCTCGTGAGGACATCTGAGAGAGAACATGAATACTCCTCCTCCATCACTCCAGTGATTAACGTGTACGCGCCGATCGCCAAGAACTTGAACACGATGCAAGTTCCACAGGCCGGACACGCTGAAATCTCGAGCGCATGTGAATGACATTAATTTGATTCATGGTGGTGACGGGAAATCTGCATTGGGGACAAATCTTGTGCAACGGATGAAACGGCGTCTGCATTTCACTGGAAACGGTAGAAAGTAAATCGATATCGAATATCGTTTGGTTACACGGATGAAACCATTGTTCCGCCCGTCTCTCGGCGGACTCTGTTTATTCGTTTGACTGGTTAAGGCTGTTGATGAACGTTTCACTTGTGACTCGTGTGATCTACCACGTCAGACGTGTATAATTCTGTTGCCACGAAACACGGATGAAACCGACGAAAGATGTCCTAGCTGGCTGAGTACGACATAACTTGAAGACTTGTCTTTTGGAACGACTATGCGTATCGTATTATGTGATAAGGAAGTATCGGCAACTGTCGAGGCCCCATCAACTCAAACTCGAAATTCTAGTGTTGGAATATATATCAGCTTTCTTCAGCCGAGTCCAAGAGTTTCCTCACTATACATACAAAGTCGGATAGAAGTGTATATGGACAAATGAGAATTCCCCAAGTTTCCTCGGAATTTTCAATTTTGCCACTAACACATGTAGTTGATTATTAGCATATTGTCCTATGCTGCAAAATCGAAGGCCTGAATGAGCGCACACTTTCACATTTTTCCGACTATGATGAACCAGGCGACAGGTTCCTGTGAAGTTCATAAGATTTATCTTCGATACAACACCTAGCGTACTCTAAGCTTGCATTATGCCTCGAATGGCAAGCCTTCTATCGGACATCCCCGAATGCGAGAACTCAGAACTGATAACCCTGTATTTCTCCAAGGCTAGCCCTATACCCACAATCCCGTCGAACTGGCTAGCTGAAGTCGCTGATGTCGCGCGAACGGCTGCATTCTCCAGCGAGCAACTAACGAGGT